GTGGTACATATTTTATTCTCTAATACTCCTTGCAAACACAACACAAAACAAACATAATGACTGAAATCAAAATTATTTATCTAAGTAATTGTTACAAATAGACAAAATAAACTAAGGGATGGTTACAAAAAAGGATATTGACTTGAAAGAGTAACATATTTTCAATTTTGTACATTTAGTCAATGAATTTTTTTTTATGTTTGATTTACCCTTGAAATATTAGAAATTACCCATATTTTACCCTTATAACGGGTTGTAACCTTTTCATTAACTAAATATGAACAAAATTAAAAGTTTGTTACCTTTTCGAATCATTATTCTTTTTCGTTTTGCTAGTTTGACTGATATTTATAGAAGTATTTGATTTGGCATTTGACAACAAGTATTTGATATCTACTAGTTTTTAACAAGAAAATCTGATTAAAAAAAAACTTTGTTTGTGAGTATGAATGTTTAACTTTTAGTTTAACCAAACAAATTTAAATCTAAAAGTTAGTTCATTCATGTAACCTTTAAGAAAAAACTATTGAGTTTTTTTAATAATTTTTCAGAATTGTCTTTAAAAATTATATTTATATATCTATATTTGTTAAATAATCCTATTTTATATAATTGTATATATTTTAAAAGTTTCCAATTACTTTATCAAACAGTAATATAACAAATAAAAACTAGAGTTTCCAATTACCATATATCAACTATGGGACTCTATGCTTTATTTTATATTGTATTTAGTTATTTTAATTCATTCAAATATTATATAAAATATTATTTCATTTTAGTTTTTCTTTAATTATATATGCTTTACACGTACAAATATATTGAATGATTGATGCATGTGTTCTATTCATTAAGAGAAAATTCGAGAAATGATAAAAAAAAAGGAGGTGGTTTAAAGAAAATAACCAAGAAAAAACAGATTTTGGAAAATGACCAAAGGATCCGCAGAGCACCCTCTGCGGATCCATTGAAGGCTCCGCAGATCCTTTACAGCTATGCGGAATCTTTGTTTTTTGATTTTTTTTTGATTTTTTTTTCGCGTTTTTTCGTTTTTGCGTTGTTTTTGCGTTCATTTTCGTTTATTAATATTAATTTTTTTTTAAATACACTAATACCTTATGTGATTATTATGTAAAAAATTTGACAAAAACAAAGTTAAAAATAATGAAATGTTTTATGTAATACGTTTGCTACTGATGTATGTTTTTCATGTATTTTTACTGTTTTGTATTTTATGTTCTATGGAATAAAGTAGAAGTTAACTCAACTGGTTTCGTAAATAACCTAATACAAACCAAATACATATAAATAACATAATACAAACCGGTGCATATAAATAACCTAATTAAAATTATACAAATATTTCATGTTTTTTATAGGTTACAAAACATACTTTAGAAAATATAAACATACAACCTTCATAATAAACATACTATGAAATAAACTTCATTCATTCAAATCGAACCACAAAAAAATTTGATTTGTTTTCGTATTCCGTCCATGGGTTTTCTGTTGCTTGTGTCCCTAGGTTTACTGTCGCTTGCGTCCATTGGTTATCTGACTGTTGCTGCCATTGGTACTCGTTGCAACCATGCCATTGGTTCTGTGGCTCTTCCTGCGGTCGGTATTCGGTCCCTTGCATCCATTGGTTATGTGGCTCCTGTTGCCATTGATGTTCGGTCTGTTGTGTCCATTGGTTGTCTGACTGTTGGTGCCATTGATGTTCATTCTGTTGTGTCCATTGGTTGTCTGGCTGCTGCTGCCATTGTTGTTCGGTATGTTGCGTCCATTGGTTCTCCGGCTCATGCTGCCATTGGTTTTCGGTCGCTTGCGTCGGTTCCTCTTCTTTCGCTTTGGTCCCACTACCTGACGCCCCAATACGTTTTTTACTTTTACTTTGGTTATTTGGAATGATTTCCTTACACGTCCTTGCGTTATGAGTTGTGATATGGCATCTACTACACCTTCTTATTTTTGGTTCCTCACCTTGAGAGGGAATACGATTGGTGTTTTTTGGTCTACCGGCTTGACGTATTTCCATCACAGGAGGGTTAACAACCATAAGGTCATCCGGAACCTCCCAATCACTAAGTTCTGAAAGAGGGTATACGACCTGCTCATACGTTCTTCGATATGTTTCAATTTTATAAGCATCTATAGCCATATGCCCACAGTGATCAATTTTCAAGTGCGTTAAAACCATTATCACATGACCACATGGCAAACCAGTTAGTTGCCAATATCTGCAAGAACAAGTCTTTTCCCTCAAATTCACTATGCCAATACTTTTGAAGTCATGCACTTGATATGTTGTATTGTCAACACCGGATACCGACCATCCTTGAATCCCCTCTTTATTTTTTTTAACCATATCTTCAGCCCACTTCATAAGTATTGTTGTACTTTTTTCTGTTAAAACAAACATATATTATTATATATGACATTTATCATATAATTTAAAAATAAACATAATCATACCTGCAGCCATCCACCGTTTGTAAAACCATTTCTGCATAATTGCGCGAAAGAACTCAAGAAGTGGTAATATAGGCAACTTCATTGCTTTATTTGATACAACATTCATGGACTCCACACTATTTGAGGTCATATAATCATACCTCGTGGTAGGGCAATACGCTCTGGTCCATTTGTCACGTGGAATTTGACTGAGATATGTCGCTACATTATCTCTTATATTACGAAGTCTCCCCCAATAGAATTCAAACTCAGTGGTTTTGTAAGCTCTTACCAGCTTCCAAAACAAAATTGCTGTTTTTTTGTTTTTTCCAAAGGTGTGGACTATGTTTCCTATTAGATGAAAAGCACACAATCCATGTTGAGCATTTGGAAAAACATTTTGAATACTTACAGCAATTGCGGGTGCCCTATCTGTGACCATTGTCAGACCTTCCACATCACCAATGCATTCATGTAGTTTTTCAAGAAACCATGTCCAAGAATCCGTAGTCTCTTTCGGGCAAATTCCATACCCAATAGGCAAGATCTGATTGTTGCCATCCATGGCCACTGCATGCAAGATGGTGCCTTTGTACTTTCCCTTCAAATGAGCATCATCCATAATAATAACTTTTCTACAACACTCTCTGAAAGCACGTGTCTGCAACAACAATATAAAAACCATTAATATATCAACAATAGAATTTGTTTATAAACATTTACGAAAATAACAAATATATTTAAAAATATATTACCGCGCATCCAATAGCGAAAAAGCAGTACTCAGAACGATCATCCGAATCAGTTTTTATGTACGCCACAGTACCAGGATTATGTTTCTCCAGATTGTGAAAATAAAATGGAAGTTTGGAGAAACTTTCTTCGGGGGTCCCCATCATCAATCCCAGAGCAAATTCTCTAGCATGTCACGCTTGTGAATAACTCATATTTATTTGTAGCAAAACATTCATATCTCTAATTATATCTTTAGGCTTCCAAACTGTCAAACTTCCTTGACCCATAATGTCATGTATTATGGTTCCCACAACTTCGCTATTTTATTGTCTATGATTTGGGTGTATAAGCAATGAAGAACATGTATGCTCGTCATTAAACGTCTTAATTTCAAACATTTTTGTTCCTTTAATGAGAGATGCGTATAAACGCCAATGACAGTTTTCTTGCATACAAACAACCTGGTACCGAGATTTTGAAGATTTTTCAACCTTTATCTGAAACTTTTCTTTAACAGCTTTCAATTTTGCCAATGACAGTTTCATCCCCAAGCTCCATGACATACCCTAACTCCGGGTGCTTAAAAGACAAACATATATGACTATTTAGCACACCTGCCTTACTTCTAACCATTTGTAATAACATTTTATTGTCAATGTTAGGAGAAAGATTTAAACCATAGTTTTTCACATTATTTCTAACGTAAACCTCATCTCCATTAACTAACTGCCAAGACCCCCCCCCCCCCCCCCCCCCCCCCCCCCCGTACACAAAATAATAAAACTAATTTTACAAATCACTCTCCACAAACACAATGAAAAAACAACTTCTACTGGTAAATGAAACTCACAAACTCACAAAAACCCACTAAAATACGTCGATCTATAACTTCTATAACTGATCCGCAGAGGTGTACACTGATCCGCAGAGGTGTACACTGATCCGCTGATAACAGTTCTGTGGATTCCCAAACAGTTCTGTGGACTGATATTAAACATAAGTTCATTATTTTTAACCTTTTTTTTGTCAAATTTTTTACATAAAACATAAGGTATTAGTATATTAAAAAAAAAAATATTAATAAACGAAAACAAAAAATAGAAAAAACGAAAAAATAAAAATTAAAAAACTCAAGATCCGCAGAGGTGTTTCGGTTCCTCAGAGGCAAACGTATTACATAAAACATTTCATTATTTTTAACCTTTTTTTGTCGAATTTTTTACATAATAATCACATAAGGTATTAGTGTATTTAAAAAAAAATTATTATTAATAAACGAAAATGAACGCAAAAAAAAACGAAAAAACGAAAAAAAAAAAAAATTTTAAAAATCAAAAAACAAAGATTCCGCAGAGCTGTAGAGGATTCGCAGAGCCTTCAATGGATCCGCAGAGGGTGCTCTGCGGATCCTTTGGTCATTTTCCGAAATCTTTTTTTTCTTGGTTATTTACTTCAAACCACCTCCCCTTTTGGTCATTTTTGGAATTTTCTCATTCATTAAATACTTGTATACTTTTTGTCGTATATTTACAATATCATGGCATCTCTATACGATTATGATAGCCCTTAAAAACCTTAAAAGCAAAAGAACAAAATATAAAACCTTAAAAACAAAAGATTCCTTAACCACACATAAATCTTAAAACCAAAAGAACGTAGAAAAACCAATATCAAGATATTCACCACACGAATTACTGGAGGAGAAAATTACCCTTCTTAACACCCTACAAAATTTAAAACCCCGCCTTCAAAACCAGAAGAACCCTAAGAAACCAAACATTTTCTTACTTCAATTTCTTTCTTTTATCCCACAATTTTCTATATTTTGTTCACTATGTTTCGATTACAGTCTAATCCTTTTAAAACAATTATAGTTCTATACGTACTCACATTTATCACATTTACGGTTTTTCTAGATGGTGTCGATGGCAAAGGTATTCTCAGGCTAAGGCCACAAGGGGTAGATGCGTCTTTTTTGACCTCACAAATCTTACCAAATCGAACCTTCATCGTTGACATTAATGGACCAGAAAATTATAGGTCGATACAAGGTGCCATTGATTCTGTTCCTGATAATAATCAAGATTGGGTTGTCATCCATGTCAAAAAAGGAATTTACAGGTGATGATTTATATTTTTAATAAAGTTTTCTAAGATATTTCTTATTTCTTATTTATATTTCGTTTTCCATATCAATTAATATAATAGAACTTTATCGATTATCATGTTAAACATTATATATTACAACATGCATTATAGATGTTTATTTAATTTTATTTTTTTTAGAACGGCAGATAAGCAATTAGTCTATTTAAGCGTACATTAATGTTTATTAGAGTCATATTATATGTGGCTAAATAAGCAGTTAGTCTATTTAGGCGTACATAATGTCTATTAGAGGCATCGATTTCGAATAAATCATTTATGTGAATATTGATCTATGTAGATTTAGATTTTATCCATGGCATGTCTAACTAGTAATTAGTAATTTAACATAAAAAATAGCTGAAAAAATGAGTAAAACGAGTTAGTCTCTTTAAGTATATTCAATACTTGCAATCTTCTAACTTTTAAGTCAAAACAGAATTAGGTTATTATTATAACTATAAATTTTTACAAAACTATATTTATATAGCGTATAGGATTACAAAAAGAACCCCACCTGTTTTTATTGGGGTGTCAATTCTCGACACGACACGAAACAGAGTTCGGTTGAGTTTTTCTAACCCGTCAACCTGCCAATCCGTTTATTATACGAGTAATGTTCGGGTTTGCAAATAATTTCACTGGTTGACGCGTGAACTCGTTTACTTTATTATATTTAAATAAATAAAAATTATATTTATTAAATAAATAAATGAGTAAGGACTGATAAGTAACTATGTGATATTTAGGGATTTTTTTTCCCGAAACTCACAAACCCGATTCTGACCCATGAAAAACCTAAATCCAACCCACAAACCCATATAATCAAACGAGTTACATGAGTTGACTTGTTTATGGCTAATTCGAATTAAGATTGAGTAAGACTACACAAATAACTATATGGGCCGTGCCCTTGTTTAACATCTATGACCCATCAACCGACCAACCCAAACACTAAGTTTTTGTCACCTCAAAACTATATACATAAATTTAATCATAATGGGGTTTTAATGTAGGGAAAAAGTAATAATTCCAAGGGAAAAACCACACATTTACTTGAGGGGAAGTGGGAGCACTAAAACAGTCATAGTTTGGGCAGAAAGCTCTGAAAACAACTATCAATCTTCCACTTTCAAAGTTGAAGCTCCTAATTTCGTTGCCTATGGTATTAGCTTTAAGGTACAAGTTTTTAATTCACCAATTACAACACAACAATGCATAAAGTACAACCTTCTAATGCACATGTTTTGGACAGAATGATGCACCTACAGGGATCGCTAACACCTCACATAACCAAACTGTGGCAGCATATGTGGGTGCGGACAAGGTTGCATTCTATAGTTGTGGATTCTATAGTTCCCATAACACTCTTCTTGATAACAAAGGTAGACATTACTACGATCATTGCTACATCCAGGGTGCGGTCGATATTATTTTCGGTCGCGGCCGATCCATTTTTCATGTAAGTTTTCTATTTTAATTAAAAATATTATAAAATATAGACCCTATAACTCTACCCTCCCAAATGAATTGTTACTGCTTATGGTACTCGTGCAGGAATGTGAGATTTTTGTGATTAATGATAAACGAATGGAGATTCAAGGGTTAGTGACGGCCCATACGCGATCGGGTCTAGATGAAAATACTGGATTTGTTTTCGTTGGTGGGAGAGTTTTTGGCACTGGACATGCTTTCTTAGGTAGACCTAGAGGTACCCATTCTCGAGTAGTTTTTGCAAAAACTTACTTATCTAAGACTGTAAGACCCGAAGGATGGAGTGATTGGAACCATCACGGTAGTACTGAGTAAGCTTCCCTCTATCTTCCCCCTCTTCCCTTTTATTTTTTATACAACTCAGTATTTTCAGTGATAGCTTTTAATGAGAATGAAAGTTGAAAAAAATAGTAGGCACACATTCTTTTTGGAATGATCAATTTCATTTCACACAAAAGTGTTTTTCCATTTCCTTGGAATGAGTTATTTAAGGGCGGAGCTTTATTAGGGCAAGGGGGGCTGTGGCCCCCCTCATTTTTTGGTTAGAAGTAGCTTTTATACTTTAATTTTATACATATTAGGCCCAAAAATATAAAATTTTGACTGTGCCCCCTGTTCACTGATTTTTATACATAATATATTTTTATACATATAAAATTTTGAATGTGCCCCTGAGTTATTTCATTATTATCTATAATTTCATTGTAATAAATACAACTTGAAAAAAATAAAAAATCTACCATGTTGAATAAAACACAATTCATTCATTTAATGATTTTATATATTAACCAAGTTTTATCATTATTTCTTAACTTTTTCACTTGTATTTTTTACAGAAATCTATGCCATTGTGAATACAAATGCCATGGACCCGGAGCTGGTACGAGTGAGCGGGTTCAATGGTTGAAGAAACTGAGTGATGAAGAAGCTCCACCATTCCTCTCTATAAAATTTATCGATGGAAAGAAGTGGTTGTTTGCCGGATATTCTGCATAAACTTTTAAGGTTGCCGTTTCCACATGCATTAAAAAAAACTTGTACAATGAAGTTTAGGTTGCTTGTACTATAATTATTAGGTTATGGGTGTTTTGAGTTTCTTCCTTCTAAACGACATGGCATAAAGGAATGAAACAATTGTAATTATTTTGTAAATAATGGCTTATAGGTTATTATTAACCAATATTCTTGAGCTTGTGATTTTTGCAATTTAAATATTTAAATAATCAGAATAACAAAGAATGAGATGAATGATCAACCAATCATATAGTAGTTGATTTATAGCTTAAAATATTTAAAGAATTTTAGTTTTATTTTACATTTCATGACATAACCCGAATATTTTAAGTTTTTTAACCCTAAATTCTAAATAATAACAAAAAATAAGAATGGGTTTGGGCCCATTATTAAAATGGGTTTCAAAAGGGTTTGTTCATGGCTTATGCGAAAGAACCCGAAAACTAGAAACTTTTAGGGCAAACGATTTCGCCATTTGCAGAGCTTTGTGATTCGAAGGAGTGAAGACAATTATGGAGGCAGGAGACGAAGGGATTGAGAGAGTAGAGGACTCCAAGGACTTACAGCAACAGAGCAAAGCACTCGACAAACTTACCGACCATGTCGAAGATCGTCAGCTCGATTCGACTCGTGTTCAAGAGGTTTGTGTGTAAATTTTACTAACTGTCTGGTTTTATGATGGATTGATCGTATGAATCGGTTATTTAGGTTTTATTGTTTAAAATTTGTATTGAATAGGCTATGGCTTCGATTGCTGCATCAAAGGAAGCTGATTTGAATGCTATGAGATTGAGGTTTGCAATCAGTGTCCCAAAAATTATTTCTGCATTTTACTTTTTATGCAAATATCATCTATCAACACACTGATGAAAGTTTATTTATCACTGAACTATCCATGTTCAATTACCATATGTATACTTCTATCAATCATGTAAATGTTTACGTTTTCATTTTTTTCTGAAATGTTACAATGAGGAAAACTTATCTTACAGATATAAGATGTTTTTGCATCTATCTTTCTGAATTTAACTGATTACATAGTTATGAGGGCTACTAACCAAATCTGGTGTATCATTAACAACATTTTGAAGCATCAAGAACCTTATAAATGTCATGTGTCAAAAGTGATTGTTTTAATTTTCATCAGAGGGACTACTCATATTGGTAATCCTGACTGTGAAACAAAAAGTCTATTTTCATACAGTAATCCTTCATGGCATTCTTAATGGGTATTATGATCCTTCTATAGATCATTATCAATTTATCATCTCCAGCTTAATAATCACACCACTAAACTTTATTTATGTTTCTTATATATATGTTAATAACTTAATATCAATTGATGCTATTTTATGATTTTTTCAAGGGAGAAAGAATTGGCTGCTGTTAAGATCAATGCTGCTGAAGTTGACATCATTGCAAGTGAACTAGAGGTATAACTGTCCCATTGTTCTCTGAAATGAGAGATTTTAGGAAAAAATCAATTGAAAGTTTAATTGTTTGTTTTCTGGGATTTTTGTGATGATTTATTTGCAAAAAAAAGGATATTTTACTCATGGCTTGTTACTGCAGTTGGATAAAAAGGTGGCTGAAAGAACATTAAGGGAACACAAGGGTGATGCAGTTGCTGCAATAAGGCACTTGCTTCATGTGGGTAATCTTTAAATTCAACATCTGTCTTGTTATTTCCAAAATGTTGTTAAACGTCATTTAGTTTATGTTACATTGTGTCACAACTTTTATGTTATGCAATTGAATCCAAATTTTCCTAATTAAAATGTTGTGAAATTGAAATGGATGTTTTGTGTTCAAGACAAAAGAATAGAAAACTGTAAAATGATGCTGATATATTTTACTTACTTTTATTTATGCAGTGTTAGTGTATGGACAATTTTTTTTTACAATCTTCCATTTTGGCATAACAACTCTTAACTACGAAATTTTGTTTGCAACAAATTTGAAACTTATCGTTATAATCACCAGAATAACAACCAGATCCATATTTAGCCTCTTTGATCCCGATTGTGCTACCTTTATACAAACAAAAAATCATTGTTTTATACACACATGTTATGTGTGTGTATATATATTATATGCACCCTTTGTTAGTTAACATGAAAAGCTATCGAATGATTTACCTTTGACCATGCATGTCGCAAGAAGAAGAATAAGAAAGATGAGCATATGAAAGTTCTTCATGTCATGCTTTCGACCTAGAAATACATGATTAGAAAAACTTAAATATATTTATAAGAAATTAATTTGAAAACATAAAACAAAACTAATAGTTTCACGAGTTTTGTATGAATGTATTTTAAATAATACATGTGGGTTGCATGAATCGAGAACGTGTTTTAAAGAGTTAGTAAACTCCCAAGTGACGTTAGAACGATTTGAGATGAGTGTTTGGAATTTTATGATCATGTTAAGATTAAGTTTTTGAAGGAATCGAAGGATTGTACATATTATACAACAAAGATGGAAGTATGCAATTAGGAATGTATTTACTTGACACTTTTATGTTAGGCATAAATGTGTGATATTTTCTTATGTTGATAATGTCTATTATGTCATAAGAAAATCTACATAGTTTAAAGAATATATAGTCGACTCCATGGCTTCAGCTCTTCTAACTCCCGTATCCAAAATTGACAGCCATTCTCTCATTTGCTTTTTTTCAACATCGATTCAATATCAAACCATCGCTTGTTATTATGACACCAATTCGCTCTTACACATGAACCTTAATCGATTTTGACTTTTTCAACCCATCTTTGACTTTTCGAATTTGTCAGTTAACAAACACAAATCGAAAACTTTTCAGAGCAAGTTCAGATCAAACATACTATTCGAACTGTTCTTCATCACTGTTCATCATGTTCTTGACTTTCGCTTTGAGATTTCATCACCGAATTCAAATCAAAGATCTAATTTTCGATTTCTTAACAGTAACTTAATTATAATCGATTTTGTGATAGAACCATTCATATAAAATCGATTCATAAGTTGATATTAATCGACACTTCTAATCGATTAGTAAGAAACCTTGAAACAAAACTGGAACACAAGGACTTGCAGATCTATACGAGAGACAAGAAGATTTGAAATGTACAACTCATTTAAGCATACGGCGAAAACTGATGAACAACGAATAATATGTCTTGTACTGATTTAATTGAATCATTAGACACGTTGAATCCATGAAGAACAGTAAAAGGCTTAAAACATTGGATCATAAATTTGGGCCGACGAACAGTAACTAATTTGATGATTGGGCTCAAAATTTTTGTGAACAGTAGATTTCGACATTTTGATAGAAAATTACTTTTGGTCTAAATCAAGAAAATGATTGAACTACAATGAATTTTGGACTTATAATCGATTCAAATGAACAATTGAAATTTGAGAATCATATCGAACAACAAATAGGATTGGATTGAGACTTGATCAACAAAAAATTATTGGATCAAAACAAATGGGTTTTTAAAAAAAAATTGATCCAATGAGTCAAAATGATAAAAAATTCAAGAACGCAAAGCACGAATCAAAGAGATTTAGAGAGATCATAGAGAGACTCACCATAAATGTTCCAATTGTGACAAATTTAGCCAAACCGAGAATCGTTTCTTCAAAAAATCATGTTGATCTTCGAAGACCCGCTCTGATACCAATTGATGTGAATTATGAGCATTGATTTGGCATGCAGAATTAAATAACACAAAAAACACGGTGATTTGGGTGTTTAAGAGATGCATTCGATTATGTAAGGTGTTACAAAAAAGGATCTAGATCTAAATCTACATAATTAACACACACTAACACACTCAATGTTACATTTCTCGAGCACACCTCCATAAGTGGTATGAACCCACCTTATATACAGGTGTTTACATGTCTCTCTCTCACTCTCTATCTCATGTCACAAGACTAATGCACCACATGCAAGTGGGTCTACAAAAGTCAAACCATTTACAAAGTCATATATAGATAACTTTGTACCCAACATGAAATTTGGTTGATGATGGGAGTACAATGTCATGCTAGATAAAATGAAGTACAATGCAAACGTAGACATTAAAATCTTGAAATGTTGGAGGTATACATCACTTATTTATTGTTGATTTGTGATTATTTTGATATAATTATTGCCAATCTCTTGAAGTTCAATGTGTTTATGCACGTGAGATATAAGCTTGGATTAATGTTAAGCATCGTGCAATGATACCAAGTATATAACTAGGTTTTTATGTATGTTGATGGTTGTGAAGTAATCTAGGTGCTAGACTTTTGTTATGGTATATTGATATAATTGAAGAATTTGATTTATTTATTGAATATGAGCATGAAAATGGTTAGAAAATGTAATTGTATGATGGGATCTACCATACATTGGAAAACTATTTAATATGGAATACAATGTTATAATTGGTAATTTTCAAAAATAAATATTGTATAAAATGACGTCTTTGGCAATGAAAGTGCTATTTTATCGCGGGTGAATACTATAAAACATCTAATATTTTTTGAATCTCTGTTTGAACATGAACATTTCTTTATTTTCGTTTTGCATGTTCTAGCTGATTTACCGAAAGATAATGTTTGGTTAATTGGTAAGTTAAAGATCCTATTTTTTTTAGAAAACCCCCTTTTATTTGACAAAAAAATTGGTTTTGGCTCATAGTTCTATTGTTCTTGTTGTTGATGTTTCTTATAGTGTTCTTGATGGAGGTTAGTTGTATGTGTTTGTTAATTTGAAAACTAAAGGCTTTGCGACTACTAACTTGGATGTAATTGTATCACAATGGGTATATGTCTACTAATTCTGAGACCGAAAACTTGAGGTTTTGCGCCTGCTAACTTGGATATAGTTGTGTCACAGCATGTATGTGTCTGCTAATTCGGATGTTGAAAGGTTTGCATCTGCTAATTTGAGGACTATGGATTCTATTAGTAAGGTTCCATGTTTGCTAATTTGAAAATGAATAACAATGCAATGTCTAAGTGTTTTGTTCACTCTTTTATTCTTTTATAATTGATGGAAAAGAATTAGTTTCAAAAGAATCTTTTTAGATTATTATAGATCAAATCACATGAAAGCCGAATACTTTGGAGTTAGAGAACTGTGCAACCTAAAATGTCATGTCAGTCTAGACCAATATTCTTCATAGGCAACAATTTTTAAGCATCTTACAAATGAGCTAGGTTCATTTGTTTAAACTAATTAGTGTGTTATTGTATGAGTAAATACAGGCCAATCATTTCAAAAGGGTAAATATGTAATCTTATACTTAATTAATTATGATAAATATATAAATCAATTAATATCCCTTTAATTTAGGGATATCAGTTTTAAAACCCAATTTGTAGTCCGCCTCTTCCCTCCTCTCTTATATTCATCGACTCCGGCAGACATGGAAATGGAATGGATGAAGAAGATGGGTGAAATAGCTCACCATAAAATCAAAACCAACGGAATATCGATGCATGTTGCAGAAAAAGGCGACGGACCTGTAGTGCTCCTCCTCAATGGCTTCCCGGAGCTCTGGTTTTCATGGCGTCATCAGATCACTCACTTAAGTAACCATGGTTACCGTGTCCTCGCACCTGACCTCCGCGGCTATGGCGATTCCGACTCCCCATCCTCTCCCTCTTCCTACACCTTCTTCCACATAGTCGGTGATCTCATCGGCCTTCTAGATCACTTCAATCAACAACAGGTATGTCGTATGTGGCTTTAATGGCGATGAAGCTTTAATCAACGTTAGGGTTGATTTTGTGTAAGTATGAATATCAGGTGTTTGTGGTGGGACACGATTGGGGAGCAACATCCGTCTGGCATCTGAGTCTTTTCCGACCAGATAGAGTCAAAGGAATCTTTTCTCTCGGTATTCCATTTTTTCCAAGATACCCTATCAATCCAACTCACTTATTCACCAAATCGTTTGGAGACGATTTCTACATCTCTCAATTCCAGGTTCTTCTTCTTCTTCTTTCTCTCACTCTGTTTACATGGAGATGAGTTTCATAAAGTTTAGGAAATTAATACAGGAATCAGGAAGAGCAGAGAGGGCTTTTGTGAAATACGATTGCTTGACAGTAATCAAGAAGTTTTTGCTGATCAACCATGGTGATGTACCGGTAGCACCTCCTGGAATTGAGATTATCGATCACATGGAAATTCCTTCGGCCATCAGAGAGCCTTCGATGTCAATTCTGTGCACGGGAGGTCGATTCTGATTTCAGGTTTTGCCCCTTTTGTGCTCTGCTCTCTGAGTTAATCGAGGCTGTTAATAGATATTAGTCATATCAATAAGCAGTTTTATTTGTAGTGACGAATGCTCAGTTTGTATAATCTGTTAGCATTTAGTATTTCATAGACATGTAGGCCGATCGATCAGGTGTTCTTTGAGTTCGAATTGGCAGAAAAGCCCTAGTTTTCGTTATTTGAACCATCCCAAACGAAATCCCCAATAAAAATGTACGAAATTAGGAATCTTCTGTTGGATGATTCAAAAATACAGTCTTGAATGATGACATTGATAGACTCGATGTGTTTAGGTTTTTTGGGAATTTGTTCTGATTGTCTAATTTTTACAGGAAATTGAAAGTTGTTTTGATGCACACCAAACGCTCGGTAAAATGTTTCAACTGAATGGTATTTCTTCGTTTATAATATTCTATCAGAAAAGAATGTTTTTTATGATAATCATGAACATATTCTGTTAGAATGCCCCAAATTAATATAATTATTGGTAAATGAATTCCAATTCTATCAGAATGGAATCACGAATTCCATTCATGCTGGAATGGAATATGGATATTTTCTCACTAATTTATTCATTGGATTATTTTCCACAGAAGCTGATGCTTGAAGAACGGACCACGAAATTTGAACGACGCCTCTTAGCAACATTATTATTTTAGAATAAATTAGTGTATTTGTTAGATTTTGATGTTTTTTTTTCCCGATTTTACAGTTTTTTAGTGTTATTCTTTAACAACAAATGTAATTCTTAGCAATTGTTACATGTATTCTATAAGAATTAATATAATTTTTGTTTTAATTCTTCAATTGCTGATTCGAGAATTTGTTATTCTACAAGAAATATGTTCAAGAATATTTTTATTATTTTATGGTTCTAGAATTTTTTTTTTTAACATACTCAAACATATTCTGTCAGAATGTCCGAATTAAAAATCTTATAATTCGTAAAATCGGATTTTTAAAATTAATAGAATCTATGATCCCTTAAAATATGCAAATTTACTTTATTAAATCTATATTAATTGACTAAAATACCCTTCTAGTTAAATTAGATGGTATTTTTCGATTATTTTTAATTCAATAATATGTATTAATCACTTTCTTAAAATAAGTAAAATGATTGGCCCATATTTATACATACAATAACACAATAATTACTTTGAATAGAATAACCTAAGCCTCTTACAAATAAAGCTTTGGTTGTTTAAAGATGAGGAATTGGGCTTGCCTATTATTTTGGGCTAACATCATGACTGGGTCGACTAATTTGGCGTATATGAGCTTAAGCCTATTTAGAAGTTTGACCTTGAAGTGAAAGATTAATGAAGTTGGGTTTATATTGCGGTTTATTAAAACATTATTAACGACCATTTATGCATTGAGTCTAAGGTGCTGTTTGTTTTTTTAGAAAAACCTCTTCAAACCACTTTCTGCTGCGCGGCGCAGCACACGCGCAACATTTTCCCTCTCGTAGCAGTTTGTTTTTTGGAAGACTTCAGACTGCAAAACCTCTGCGCGTGTGCTGCGTGGCGTAGCACTTGACTTGCCTCTTCAAACCTCTTCAGCTTTCAATTTTTTGAAGTTTTTTTTAGAATTTTGGTATAACTTACTTTTTTTAAACAATTAAAAAAAAACTTTTATTTACGGATTTAATACAATTTCTTATTATAGTTTCCACAAATTTTTTTAACTTGATTTAAAAAAAAAAACTTTGATTTTTTTAATTTTTTTACCGTTTCCGTTAATAATATTTTCAGTTTCAGTTTCAGTTTCATATTTTTTAACGTGTGTAATTTTTTACGAACTTTGTACACATCGTTTGCAATACTTTCTTAATTTTTTTATTATTTTCTTTTTTATGTTTTTTAAAATTAGTTTTTTTTTTCTAGAATAAAGCTGCTAGCTTCTTTTATATTTTTGTAAGTTTTTTTTTAAAAAAAGTTTTATATTTTTGTTTTTTTACATGTTATTTTTAGTAGTCTTTCAATGTTTTAAAACTAGAATTATTAAAATTTCGGTGTTGAGAACTATTTTAAGTTTATAAAATTAGTTTATTTAAATTTCAGTTTACTGCAGCAGTCTGCAGATGTTAAAAAACAAACATGCTTCTTATTATGTGCTGCAGCCGTTTGTTCCACCTCTTCTGTTGCAGAGGATTGCAGAGGTGATCCGCACACTTCATAAATTTTCGCTTCGAAAAAACAAACAGCACCTAAGTGGAAGGACTTCTTGAATTCAAGTATGAAAATTATTTAAGCCTAGGGTTTGGCCTACATTTTCTTCATTCAATTTCTGAAAAGGGAAAAGAGAGGATAGCTTCATTTCTATGGGTTTCTTTTTAGCAATTGGAAGTGGATTTTGTTGAATTCCTCGTATCTGCCAAGAAGTCCAATTATGAAATTTAAGTGTTACATATCCAAGTCATTAAAGAAATCCATTCATATTGACATAATCATCATCTTTCTCCATACTATCATCATCATCATCCTCCACCATACTGACATAATCATCATTATCATTGTAGGACTCTTTAGTGACTTAAAAGTAAAGTCAAGGAGTATTAACTGAAAATTAAATTAAGTCAAAAGTGTTTTTTGAGTAGGAAACAATTGACTCCAATTCTTTTTGTTTTGAAGATTTGAATTAAAAACACGAACCCTCTACGAAAGAAATTTTGTGTTGAGGTGGAGTTTCAAAATACACACACTAGGTCTAGGTGTCTGACAAATGTTCTCAAAGCGATCAAGTTGGTGCTCTTAAGTTTGAAGAACAACATGTTGATTGCCCATTTAAGTTGTACACTTTCAAAATATTACTCCCATTCCGGTTTCTTTGTTATGTTCTTGTACGCTTTCACAAATCATGAATAATAAAGCCATCTTTTGTCATCATTCTCGTTGATTTTCATTCCACATTCATAGATTAACTAAGTTTCAACACAAGCAAGTGAAATCCTTCAAGTTCAAAAGAACAAGATCATGCATCTGTTTCACATAATTTTCAATTCCTTACTGCTCTTTGAGTCCTCATGTAGTGGTGGCATGAACTTGAACCGCATGTCCAAGTGGTGTAGCTCTTCTAGTATCTCTTTGAATGTTGGCCTCGACTGTGGTTCACTAAGAAGGAAAAAAAGAAAACAAGAAACTTCTTGTTTTTTTTTTCAAACAAATTATATGAAAACTTAAAGGATTTGTTATTAAACTATGAAGGTATTCTAATTGATTATGAAAAATGAACCTGCACAAACATCTTTGAATAAGAGAAGCCCATTGTGGATCCACATCTTTTGGAATATCTAACCCTTGATTCATGACTCCTACAGCTTCCATCACCTGAATATATATACACACTGTTATTAGTATACAGATCCCCTTTCTTTGCCCAATCTTCCTAAATCATTATCGTCTTTGACATGATTTACAAACAAATCCTCTCAATTTAGTTCAAACTTAAATGTTTTACCTTTTAATGTATTCATCAATTTATATGATGTGATCATGGGTTCCACATTTACATGATGTTAGAAAGAAGAAAACCTGCATTGAGTTGAGTCCATCCCAAGGGATCTTCTCTGTGGTAATTTCCCATAGTACCACACCATAGCTATATATATCCGACCTACACAAAGCCAAGAAACATTTTAAAAAATATATAAAAACTAAACATAGATTTATAAATCAATCGTTAGGGATGCAAACAAGTAAATTTACCTTTCATCTGCTTGCTCATTTCGAAGAACTTCGGGTGCCATCCACTGATGCTAAGGCTAACAAGAAAGAAAGACAAAAGATTGTCAACTCATGAAATTATATACATGGTCCCACAGAAGATAAAATATAACCCGTTTTGATCATTTTCCTTTTGATCAGTTATAGTGGAATAAAAGTATTAATCAAGAAGGATATATATATATATATATATATATATATATATATATATATATATATATATATATATATATATATATATATAGTACCATTCCAATCCTTTCCTTGATGGTCTCATAAGTTTCATGCTTAGTACAGCATAGACCAAAGTCACCAACCTATTCAATTGTAAGTGACACAAGATCATTTTATTTGTGAAAAAAGAGAAGAAAATGTACAACATCAGACGGAATATGAACATAAATATGGTAGTTAAATGGAACGAAGTGTCACCTTGACTGTCCAATCCTTATCCACAAGAAGTTTTGAAGAATTCAGATCACGGTGGATGATGGGAGGGAGGCAATGATGAAGATAATTAATTCCTCGTGCCTATATAAAAAAGTATATAATGATGAAGATAATATCAATATATTTAATGGAATGTTTTTTTCTTGAAAGACGAAAGTTTTTATTGATAAACTAGCAAGTAGCTAGAGAGAAAACATTGATTACAATATCAATGGCCATACGGATTCGGCGTCTCCAATCCAATCTGGCTCTTTTTCGGTGAAGTAACTTGAACAAATTTCCACTTCACAAAAGTTATAAGAACATAAAAATCATCAAAGTCATATATGCATGCATAAGATTAAAGGCATGTGCACTTCACAAGATAAAATATATAAGATTCCAACATTAGTTGTGTGAAATAGCTATAATAGTGTCTTCTCATACACACAAACATACATGATTGAATGTATTTGAGAAGGGGGAAAACGAATACCAACCGACGAAGAAACTCGGTTACAATGCATATGCACTGAGGTGATGCTACTGTACCCATGAGGAGCAAAATATTTGGATGCCGAAGCCTTTTCATAAGAGATGCCTTCAAATTGTAAGAAAAAACTGTTAGAAAAACATGATCTTTAATTAGAAAAATATGATTTCCACCCATTTTGGACATGTGTAAATTTGGATATCTATTATTTATTTGTATTATATTTTAATGGGGTTGCTTTCTTCTTTTCTTGGGAAGAGCTTTAGTAACAATATACTACAAGAACAGATCAAAGTTAAGATGAGTGTGTTGGGTAATCTTGATGGGTTAAGCTGGGTCACGGGTACAGGTTCGAATGGGTCGGTTCGGTTTCCTTATGCACAAGTTGGATAGGTCAGACTTAGTCTAATAATGACCTGGTTTGAAGGGGTTTCAAAACGTGGACTTAGTACTCCTATATTTGTGGTTCTTAGCTGATAGTTTATTCCTGTTTCTTAGCATGTTTACTAGTATAAATAGAGTAGAATTTCTTCCATTTGTATGTATGTATTTTCTGTTTTCTATGAAAGAGATAATCCAGAAAAGTGGTGTGTGCATGATTATTTTTCTTGGGTCTGGACCAACAGAGTGATGTATTTGGAATGAAAGATAACTTGAAAAAGGAGAAAGCCGATATGCATGAATAGTTGTGGATCAAGAAAATCTATAAAGATTGTGCAAAAGTTACAAATTTATTATAAACTTTTTTTTCTGGGAGGCAGGGCTGAAAATGATATAACTTTTTCAAGATATAAAATACCTCATGCATAAATGATACTATAAAATCATGTGAGTGTGCCTGCTTGGAAAATAACTTGAGGGCAACATCCTGCATAACATGAACAATACATTATTAGAATATACGTACAATAATGTGGCTGTAAAACCATTTATGTTATATATTTTTTTTGTTAGGGATATAATTATAATTTATATCACATAGTAAGCCATGATGACATAACTGGTCCTTCAATTTATGTCATGAGATGTTACTTGAATCTTTGATGATTCAAGTAATTATAATTTTTGTTACATGATGACATAATTAGTTCTGAAACTAGTGTTGAATAGGTTGTGATATTCATGCTTGAGTTTAATCAACTTACATGAGATACACCTACAATTTTAACATCATAAATTAACAAGGGAGAGATGGAAACATACAGATCCTTGCCACACTGCATGATATCGAATCCCACATGAACCTGCCACAATGTATGTTAAACGTAAAACATCAAAAACTTGCAGAAAAAAAAAGACGTGAAAGTCTTGTAAAACATTAACATACCTCGCCCAATCACTTCTCTAATCCTCAAATCTTCCCACTTGATTTCACAATCAAAACTGTGATTAAACAAAGACCAAGTACTTAAAGCCTTGTTATCACGACCAACACAATTAGTGTTTACCATCCATTGTTGATTTTCTACATTCGCCCTCATTCTCAGACCATACTTATCTTGATCACTGTGTATCCAATGCCAGCAAGAACGACTAGTTGTGTGATCAAAACAACCTTTTTGTTCTTTTCCTTTCCATTTAGATTTTGAAAACAAGGTACTGGTTTCATTTACCATAGGAGCACTTAGCTTTATTTGTTGATATGGGCTTGGGGCAGTTGATACACTTATAATCCCTATAAGTGTCCCATTTTCATCACGTAAAGGTTTAGTGGAACCAATAATAACAAACCTTTCCCCTCTCTTATTTCTAATAGGAAACTCCCCTGTCCAGCACTCACCCTTTAACATGTGTTGTAGGATATCATTTGTTAGGATCGAGACACTTAACACACGACTCTAAACACACACACACAGCTCACGAAAAACAAGAACACAAGGATGAACATGAGGGATTTAACGTGGTTCGGTCCTTCTCTGACCTACGTCCACCGATAACTAGGAATTTACATTTCTTGGTGCTAATCTGCACTCTTTCTGTGTTACACTAGATACGAGTTTTACAAATACAGAATAATCTCTTATATAGAGATGGAAATCAGAAGTAGTCAAAAAACACAACTGGGTCTTCATTCAACAATTGTGGCTTCACAACTTCACATTGTTCCTGCTATTTTTGACCAGCTTTTCTGTGGATTCACACTCAACATTTCTGTGGATTCATACTCAACAATCTCCCACTTGAAGCCACGGAACAATCTTCACCTGTGCTTCAACTGTGCATCTGTATTTGATCTTAACTCCTTCCTAGTTTACCCTGGCCTTCTCTTCAATTAACCTGAAGGCCAGTTGAAGCTTTCGTTAGCTCCAACGCATCAGTCATGGCTAAGTCTGCCACTGACCTGTTCTCTGTCTCCACCGGCTCCCACTGAAATGAACTGCCCGATCCTGGAACATCCTGAGAACAAACGACACTCTCCATGTGAAGCAGATAATCTGGAGAGACTTTTACAGATGGAATATTGGTTCTCTTAACCCACTGTGTTCTGGGTATTCTAGCTGAAACAAAGCCCATGCTCCCACTGCTATGAATGCCCTTGACTGGTTTTTCTGAACCGTTCCAAACACGTTCAACCTGAATCTGACCTGTGACTCTGGGTTTGCCATCTGCAAAGCAAACCTTCTTCTGTCCACGAGACTCTATGAACCGGATTTTGTTTTTCTTCTGAACTGGGACGGTTACTCCCTCAGACGGTAAACTGACCATATATAATGAACCCCTCTTATGTCCACGAGCTATCACAAGATTTCCTTTGACAACCTTCCTTCTTTTTGGTGTTAACCAATTGTTTGATGAGGAACACTTTGTTGGAAGCGGACGGCTTCTCGTACATGTTGGACAAAGCCTTAAATACTCCATAAGTAGTTGTTTCATTAACAATGTTATACGCAACACTCTTTGCCAATGAAAGCCTAACTACACCCAAGGCTTGTCGATCCAACAACTTCCATTCTTCATCATACATGTCATCCGGTTGTTCGCCCAACATAGGCAAATGCAAACTTTTCTGATACAACATATCTTCAATTTGCATCTTCCAAAATCCATAATCGGTTCCATCAAACTTGTCAATTTTGATTTTACCATCTTCTGCCATTTTTGCAATTTTCTGAAAGAACAGGGACCTGTCTTGCAATTTTCTGAAACTTCAGGGACCAAATCTGAGTTTTTCAAATTCTGCTACAGTGACGCTACAGTGATGCTACAGTGTCGCTACAGTGTCATCTTCTCCGGCAGGTCTCCGGCGTACAGTGTCGTCTTCTCCGGCAAGGCTCCGGCGTACAGTGTCGTCTTCTCCGGCGAACTGGTTTTCCCGGTCACTATTCCAGCGAACCTTTGACCGGCGATTTGGACGTCTTCCGGTGGTCAAAAAATTCAGAAAAAAATATTTTCGGAATCTTCGGAACGAGACCTTTCCAACGGTATACACCAAAATCGTTTTTGACGAAAAAAAAATTTCGACCAAAAACTTAAAATCACCTTCTGGAGCTACAACCTTGCTCTGATACCACTTGTTAGGATCGAGACACTTAACACACGACTCTAAACACACACACAGCTCACGAAAAACAAGAACACAAGGATGAACATGAGGGATTTAACGTGGTTCGGTCCTTCTCTGACCTACGTCCACCGGTAACTAGGAATTTACATTTCTTGGTGCTAATCTACACTCTTTCTGTGTTACACTAGATACGAGTTTTACAAATACAGAATAATCTCTTATATAGAGATGGAAATCAGAAGTAGTCAAAAAACACAACTGGGTCTTCATTCAACAATTGTGGCTTCACAACTTCACATTGTTCCTGCCATTTTTGACCAGCTTTTCTGTGGATTCACACTCAACATTTCTGTGGATTCATACTCAACATCATTAGCTATATGGAGATCCTTTGGTTCTACTACAAGATCCAGAAAACCTTTTCCACGAATTTCCTCAGCACTATAACCATACAAGTTTTCCCAAGCTTGGTTCCTGCATAAATCTCAAAATCTGGAGAGAAATTTAGGTTAATATCATACAACAATCAGCCTCAAATATTATGAAGATATAAAAAACTTGCCTGTAGATTATGCAACGCTTAAGATTGGTTATAT